AGATTGCCCAAGCTTTCTTCTGAGAAATGGCTGATGGGTTTGAACCTCCAGCCTTCTAGTTAGCAGTCAAATGCCTTAGGCACTATGCCACCAGAGCTCCCACAAGGTACAACCACATACAACCACAAAATAATCATCAGAGTAGACCCAGTGAATATCTTAAGAGTTGACCACACCCACACAAAAAGAAAACCCAACAAATTCTACATATAAAACCCATAAGCCATATTCTCTGACCATGCCTCAATAAAACACAAAGATAGTCAAATAGACCTGTTTCACTTAGATTGGCGTCAGATGGACAAAAATTGAAATAATAATTTAGATGAGGGCATAGGGAAATGGGCATTTATAAAGACTTCAGGTGGGAGTATAAATTGTCAATGCCTTTTGAAAAACAATTTGGTATTTTCAATAATTTTAAATGTCCATACCCTTTAGTTGAGCAATTCTACTTCTATAAATCCAACTTACAGAAACATTTGCACATAATTACAAAATATAGGTTCAAGTGTACAATAAAAGAACTCACTGCCATCGAGTCAGATCTGATTCATAGTGACCCCTCTTTGGGTTTCTGAGGTGGTATCTCTATGGAAGCAGATTGCCCAATCTTCCTTCCAAGGAGTGGTTTGTGGGTTTGAACTTCCAGCCTTCTGGTTAGCAGTCAAACCAAAAAAGAAATAACTCAAATATCCATTAGTTGAAAAAATAGTTAAATTTATAGTATCTCCATTCAGAAAATGCCTAGAACTGATGTGGAAAGAATATCCAATACAGAGTATTTAATATACATATGGTATCATTCAAATTAGTTTAAAATGCAGAACAAGTTAGGAAAAGGACTTGAAGTATACACAATAAACTTATTACTTCTGGAGAGAGACAGGATGGAGAACTTTCATATTTTACTTTATATATATATCCATAGTGTATGATTCCTTTATGATCTGTACTACTTACACAATTTTTTAAAGTCATGTATTTTTAAAATGTGTTAATTTAGTTCCCAGAAAAAAGATCCGGTTCTTTCTGTTCTTAGAATAAATTTGATTAAACCAATTCAAGAGTATAAGATATGTATAACATTCCCATGTGTTCAAATAAAGCATTTGCTATTCCCTCTGCCTGGAATGCTCTTCCCTTAGTATGGTTCATTCCCTCGCTTGCTCTCTTAAATTTTCCACTTAAATATCAACTTATCTGAGGAACTTTCTCTATCTTTTCAATATAAAATGGCAACCTCCCATACCATCCCAGCACTTTCCAACTACCTTACCTTGCTTTATTTTTCATTAGGAATTTAGCATCTGTGTTTACTGTCCTTATCTTTAAAACAAGGATAACAGTAGTAATTGCCTCATAGTATTTAAATGAGCTAGAAGCACTTAGATCAATGCCTGACACACAGGAAGAGCTATAAACATTTTTGATTTTTTGGTGTTTTTTTCATTTATAGTCTGTCTTCCCCTTATTACAATGGCAACCCCAAGAGGTAGGCTTCTTCTTCTTCTTTTTTTTTTTTTTTTTTATTATTGTATCCTAAATGTCTGGAAGGCCTTTATCAGTAAATAGTCATAGTTGTTGAAATCTAATTTAGCACTATAGCCCATATGTACAGGCAGCTGAGACTGTAAGAAAAAGAGCAATTATTTTCAGTAAAACCAAGCTTTCTTCTGCATGTTAGCATGACTCCTCTGTGATAACTGAATCTACTCTGAAAGCATAATACTTAGTATGACTCTTAGAAGCTTCAAGAAGGGAAATACCATTTAACTCATTAATTTCTTAAACACAAACATGGCAACAGAAGCTAAAACAATACAGAATGAGAAAACAAAAGCACAACTTACTTTTCATTCCTGTTTTTGATGCATGGCTGGTACAGGACCTTGATGGCATTCCAGACAGAACTGGAATCTTCCTTCAAAATGTCTTCCAACAGGGGGAATTTTTTGATACTTTTAGAATTTTCCAAAGATCCAATCACCAAACTGTCTGAGTTTAAAAGCCATAACTAAAGATGTAAAGAGAAAAATCCAAGTACGTATAAGTATATCACCATCATATCTATTACTAAACTACCACTTAAAAGGGGCAAAAAAAAGAACAAAATATGCATCAGAAAAAAATATAGGTAGATGATGCATATAATTTTTAAGTAAGGAAATCCTTTCCAAGGATAACATTTGGTGGAACATGCAACATTATCAAGTTAAGAAAGAAAACAAAAATGCATTAAAATAGTTAATACAAATATAAGAAAATTATTATCTATAACATATAAACCAAACCAAACTCACTGATACCTATTTGATTCTGACTTATAGCCACCTCCATTGAGTTTCCAAGGCTGTCACTCTTTCATGCCCCCTTTTCACCTCCTCCAGGTCTGGGTTTGACCAGACTGCTGTGAGATGGGTCACACTGGATCTGGAGTGGGTAGGGAAATGTGGGAGTGTGAGGTGGCTGGGGAGAGGGCCCGAGGGTCTGAGGTTCCCAGGCCCAAGCATATGGAAGCAGACTACCTCATCTCCCTTTCACAGAGTTGCTATTGGGTTTGAACCACTACCTTTTGGCTAGCAGCCAGATGCCTTAACCACTACAACACCCGAATTTCTTTCTATAACATATAGAGCTCCTAAAACTCAATAAGGGTAGGAGGTGGGGTGGGGAACAATAGAAATATACACAAAAATATAAACAGGCAAATTAACAGAAGAAATGTAATTAATACACATATAAACAAGTTAACATAACTAGTAATAAGAAATGCAAATTTTTTACATTGCCATTTTTCTCTTAGTACAAAGATTGATAACAACCAGCTTAGAAGAAGAGTTTAGAAATGGGTTTTCCCATACACTGAGGGAAGAAGTGTCCTGGCATTTTAGTGTACATGATTCCTTAAGGGCATACTCTCAAAAGAAAAGGAATGAGGGATAGACAAGGTAGGAGAAGCTAGGAAAGGATGTGCTTTGAGCTGGAGTCTAGCTTCAGCCTGATCCCACAGGGAGCACTGGAACATAAAATGCAGCTACAGAGTTGGCCCCACCTTAAGATAGAAAGGCCCAGTTTTTTGTACCGTAGGAGTCTTAGTTATCTAATGCTGCTATAACAGAAATACCACAAGTGCATGGTTTTAACAAACAAAATTTATTTTCTCACAGTTTAGGAGGCTGAAAGTCTGAATCTAGAGCACTAGTTCTAGATGCTTTCCCTCTCTGTCAGCTCTGGAGGAGGTCCTTGTCTCTTCAACTTCTGTTTCCTGGTTCCTTAGAGATCCTCCATATGGCTTAGCATCTATCTTATTCCATCTCTGCTTCTTTCACTTGCTTAAGCTCTTTTATATCTCAAAAAAGATTGACTTAAAACATACACTACACTAATCCTGTTCCATCAACCTAATAAAGACACCCCATTCTCACATGGGATTATAACCACAGACACAGAGATTAGGATTTACAACATGTATTTTTGGGAGACACAATTTAATCCATAACGTTCCACACTGTGGCACCTCAAAATTTATGTCCTTCCCACATGCAAAACACATTTACCCCATCGCAGCATCCCAAAAGTCTTAAACCAACTCCAAGTTCAAAATCTTATCTTCTGAATCATGTAAATCGAAACGGGTGAGACTTTAGGCATAGTCCATTCTGGGGCAAATTTCTTCTTCATCTGTGAACCTGTGAAATCCAAAATGTAAGCTGCTTCTGAAGGACAATGGTAAAACAGGCTCAAGGCAGACATTTCCATTACAAGTGGCAGAAATGGGAAAAGGAGGAACAGTGGGTACCAAGTCAAAACCCAGCAGAACGATTTACAATAGTTCTCAAGGCTTAAAAGTAATACTCTGTTTTTTGGAACCATTTGGGCAATGGCTCTTCCCTTCAGACTCTGGGTGTTGGCAACACCCTCTGGATTGTGGGTGGAGGCCCTTTGGCCCTGGACTTCAGCTCCACTTTCTAGGCCCACTGGGATGGCAACTCTGCGCCTTCAGCCCCATTCTCCTAATCCATCTCAGTGGCACCCCTACCCTCAGCCTTAGCAAGCCCTGTTTTTCTGCCCCCTGGGCATGGCAGTCCTGCCCTCTCAGCTTTGGGTAGTGGCACCTTCGCCCTGGCACTCATGAATGGCAGTCCCACACTCCTAACCACGTTGGTGAAGATGTGTGTCTTTGACACTTAGAAGGCTGTGGCCCCACTCTTTGAAACTCACTGGGCTGTGGCTCCATCCTTCAAAATTGAGGCAGCTCTGTGTCCTGTGCTCCTTCTAACAGTTCTGCTGTTCTCTGAGCTGCTCCAGGAATGGTTCTTTTTTTTTTCCTTAGAGGACAACAGATGTAGCTCCTTTGGTCTGCTTCTTCTGTGCAGAATTCCAAGAGGCAAGCAACATTCTTTTTATTATTTCTCTGTCCCCTTCAGTCTAAGGTGATGGGCTTTCTGCTGTGGTAGTTGGTTACATCCCTCAGTTAGAGGCTTACTCTCTTTAACAAAAGATTGTGTAGCCACATCCTTGGTGAAAATTCTAGGGCACGTGTCCTTAGTTTGTACAACAGAATTTTTCAAATCTTTATAATTTTTTTTTTTCCATTTTGCACAGTTCCTTTTCAAATCCATCTTTTTCCTCTCACATTTTACCATAAGGGGCAAGGAGAAACCACACAGCCCCTTTAAGATCTTCCTTAGAAATCTCACCAGCCAGATATCCAAGTTCATCACTTGTAAGTTTTATCTTCCACCAAATATTTGAACATAGTTCAAACAAGTTCTTTGTCGCTGCATAAAAAGCATTGTCCTTCCTCCATTGCCAAATACATGTTCATTATTTTCTTTTAAAGCCTCACCAGAAGCACATTTGACATCCACATTTCTAGCAACATTCTGTTGTTGGCACCATAAGTCTCTATCTAAGATGATAGAGACTTTCTCTAAAGCTCTCTTCACTTCCTTCTGAGCCCTCACCAAAATTGCCTTTGACATCCATAATTATATCAACAGTCTCATCAAGGCAATCTAAGCTTTTACTATTAAGCACCTTAAAACTCTTCCATCCTCATGCCATAACCAATTCCAAAACCACTTCCACATTTTAGGTATTTCTTAGAGGAGGACCCCACTCCCAGTACCTAATTATCACAATCTTTACCTAGTGTTGCTATACCAGAAATACCAAGTAGATGGCTTTAACAAACATATGCATTTTCTCAGTTTAGGAGGCTAGACATCTGAATCCAGAGTGCAGGCTCTAAGAGAACACTTTCTTTCTCTGTTGGCTCTAGAGAAAGGTCCTTGTCTCTTCATCTTCTACTTCCTGGTTCCATAGAGATCTCCATGTGGCTTAGGATTTATCTTCCTCCATCTCTGCTCTCTCATTTGCTTATTTAATCTCTTATATCTCAAGAGATTGATTTAAAACATACTCTATATTAGTACTGCTTCAATAGCATAACAAAGACAACCCATTCCCAATATTATAACCACAGACATTAAAAAAAAAAAAAAAACCTGCCATTGAGTTGATTCCAACTCATAGTGACACCCCATTGGGTTTCCAAGGCTGTAAATCTTTATAGAAATAGATTGCCTCACCTTCTTCCTGTGGAGCAATGTGTGGGTTTGAACTGCTGACCTTCTGGTTAGCAGCCAAATGTCCTACCCACTATACAACCACGCTCCTTAATCACAGGCAGAGAGGTTCAGATTTACTGCATATATTTTCTGAGGGACAAAATTAAAGTCATACTACTAGGGCTAGTCAGTAATTGGTAGTGGGCTGACCAGGGCAGGAGTGAGGGAGAGTAAATGACACTAAAGGGAATGGGCAATCTCCTGAGCAAGGCGGCATCTGTCAAGCAAGGGTAATTCTCAAGAGAAGTGAGTAGCTGTAGCATTTAGTAGCCAATACTCAGCATATAGGAATAGGTGAACCAGCCCTGGGTGGACACCAAGAATGTCTACTCATAATGGGTAAATTAGCACAACAGTTTTGTTGTTGTTATTGCTATGTGCTGTCGAGTTGGACCCAACTCATAGCGACCCCTCCTTGGATTTCCAAGGCAGTATCACTATGGAAGTAGATTGCCCCATCTTCCTTCCGAGGAGAGGCT